ACTAGCACCTAAACATCTAAATAGTTTAAGATGGTCGGATACTTATAAAAAGGTCTTTTTGCTAAAAAAAAAAAAACACCATAAGTGTCGTCAAGTAGACAACAACACCATATACTTAAGTGTGTTGACTTAGTAACAACAAGTAATTGACCATCGTTCAACCCAACTTTCTGGACTAATACGGATGAAATGGTTAGAAATTTTTTATCAAATGTTACGTTAGCACAGGTTCGATTAGCCTCACGAACATTTTTTTAATTTATATTAAATAATTTTATGTACCCGACTGCTTTGCAGATGCTGCGGCCATTTCTGAGACGACGAGAAGAAATGCAAAGAGACCCAACAGAATCAAAGTCTTGGAAGCCATATTCTGCAAATGCTTATAAGTAATAACACTCTCTTTGTGGAAAAACAGTTGATTAATAAAATGTTAGCCTGCATGCTCCCTATTTAAAGAAAACGAGGAGAAGTGAATGAGAAAAGTCAAATTTTAGTTCAATAAAAATAAGTGAGTTTTTTAAATTAAAAGAGGAGAGGAATTTAGGACAACAAAATATTTTACTAGCATTTAAGTAAATGAGAAGATTTTTTTTTTTTCAAGCGAACAAACGTGATTTAAAAAAAAAGGAGTTTAGATACTTCTTTTATTCAACTGTTATGGAAAATAAAGTTTCAAAAAAAAAAAAAACTGTTATGGAAAATGTGATTATTTCTATATTTTGTTATTCTAACACATACGATTTCATTTAGTTTTTTAATACATCTGCTTATATATTCTAAGTACCGTATGGTTTTTTGTATGTATCATGGTATTTTCTATGTAAATATCTATTTAATTTTATCAATTAATATATGTGTTCATGAACTCATATTTATAATGATTTAGTGTGTTAAATATTAGTTTATATGTGTTTGAAGATGCCAAATGAATATAGTTTTAGAGGCCAATTTTTTAAAAATGACATGCTACATTTTTGCCCTTATATTTACCAATAATATTTTGTCTTAATAACAACAGTTATTTACTGTTGGAGCTGGATTCGTCACCGAATTTGGCCCGTTAAAAGCCTGAGTACAAACAATTTATTATAGACAAAAGAAATGGGCATGCGGCCCAGTCCTAAAGAAAAGATAACATTTGAGAGAAAGCCAACGTTAGCTCTGCGAGCGCTGAGTCAACGGAAGGTGAGCTGACGAGTTGGGAACGAGTCTACAGGTGGTTAACACAGTCGTAGGAGCGAGATTCGCAAAAAATATGCCGAGAACGTGCCCAAAATACGCTTAACCGCACTGGATACATGGAGCTGGATCGAGGAGCCGAATGGAACTATAAATACATGAAGTCATAGCAGATTTTGCCAACTTTTCACTTACGCAAGAGCGTAAACACTACATTTCAACTTGTAATACTTCTCAGTCGGGATTTTATTGTATATTCGATTCAGATCAATATAAATCCAGCTCCGTTTTACTCTTCTTTTGTCCGTCAGATTTATAGACATTTTTTAGGACCAAAATTTTTTGTCCGAATTAACATACAAATATTTAGTGCGGAATTCAGCTTCAACATTTACCAAAACAATTTTTTTTTCATTTCTTACAGTTTACTCCAGTCTGAATTAAAGTGATAAGTATCAAAGTATTTTATACGTTGCTTCGGTCCCCATTTGGTGTGTTGTTGGATTCATTTGTGATAAATTTGAGACTCCAAAAATGGCAACCCCACCAATGTTTTAGATTGTTGCTTGCAATGTCTTAAACACAGCACAATCACAGACGTATAGAA